TCGTACCCCCAGCGGCTGCTGGACGAAGACCGCGACCTGCTGCTGGGCGGCGCGTCCACGGGCGGTGGCTGGGGCGCGCCCACCGCTGCCGTCGTCTCCGCTCCCGCCAGCGCGCGCGCCGCCGCCACCTCCAGCTCCTCCGTCGCCGTCACCATCGACGACGACGAAGAGGACGACGAGGACGACGGCGAAGAGGAAGAGCGTCTGCGGCGCCCGCCCCGCAACGGGATGGCCGGCTCCGCCGCCGCCTCAGCAGGTAGCGCGACCGGCCTGCCGCGGCCCCGGCCCGCGCTGGCGCCCTGAGCCCCCCGCGGTCCCGGTCCCGGCCTCGGCCCCGACCCCGGGCCCGCCCCCGCGGGGCCCGCAGACTGCACATAACGACTGCAACCGACAATACTTTCCTCCCTATATCGAGGCACACACGTACGGAACAGAATACACTACCACCACCGCCGCCGCCCTGACCGCTACCGTCTTCTACCTTTCAGTGTAGTGTTGAGCGACAACGCGTTAACTGGTCTGCATCCCCGTGTGTCTATCTGTTGTGTGAGCCGCTAGGGCTAGCCCGGAGGTAGAGTAGAGAGGCAGCAAGCAGGTCCAGAGCGGAGCGGGAGTCACGCCGCGCTGCGCTGCGCTGCGCCGCTCCGCTCCGCTCCCCGCCCCATGAAGCCGCTCCGCGCTCCTCGTTGCGCCGCGAGTCCGCTGCCCCCGCGCGCCGGCGCCGGCGCGCCGCGGTCGCCCTCAGGTGAGTGGGGCTCCCCGGCCGGGCTTTGGCTCCCCCGTCGCAGTGGCTCCCGTTGCGCCCTCCCGTAGACTCCGGCGCTCTTCGCCGCTCGCCCCCCCCTCCGTAGGTAGTCTTAGCGGTAGTGCGATAGCATAGCATAGCAGTAGCAGCAGCAACAGCAGCAGCCGTAGAGCAACTAAACGGAAGGCCGGCACTGCTCAGATCCCGCGCTCCAGCGGCAAGCTTCCGCGCAAGCTTCCTATGTCACCACCACCACCACCACTACCACATTCACTATCACCAGCTCCATCACCACTATTGACACATGCATTATCTCCATCACCGTATTTGTGAAGAGTGGATGGTATTGTGCACATTTTTGTGAGAGGAGAGAAAGAGAGAAGAATTAAAGAATTCTATTCCAAACTCTTTTGATGAGTAACAACCTTGCTGGAAACCAATCAAGCAGTTTGAGTCACAACTTAAGATCAGACAGTGGGAAAAAAATTTATTTTCCAGTTTACTTTTTTTTATGTCATAACTTCACTATGGTTATAGATTTCATTTAAGGCATTGAACCAAAATCATGACCCAGGGATGTCAAGGTAGTTCCCACCAGTGAGACTTCATGACAAGGAGTGGCCCAGTGAAATCAACTTTGCACACAGTTGACTACCTTGCCATTAGAGAGCAATTGTGAAAGTTGCTTTGGAACTCACATGTGAGATATGAGTTGGGAGAGATTAGAAAAATGAATTTAAGTTTGTCGTTATGTTAATTAATATATTTCTATTTATTTTTTTGTATCCATCCTCCTTTTTTGGATTATTTTAAATTTTAAAATGAATATGCTGCTGTATGTTTCTACTTTTGCAATTTTTGAACACTTAAACATATTGCAATGCAGTTTTCACTCACTCTTAGAACTCTTCAAGGAAACAGGATTGTTTATTTCTATCACTTGTATTTTACTAGATATTGAGATCAACTTCGCTTTTTCTTTAAACCTTTTTCTAGCCTATTGCAAAGGCCAAAAAACAACTAAACCAATGATATATATATTTTCTTATTTTAGATTAGTTTGGTAGGTTGCGAATGTTTTTGTGTTTTCAATTAAAATTACAATAATGAACCACCAAGCTAACCAAAATCAAGCAGTTGTGTGTCTGCTGTAGAGCGCTAATACCAGGTACTTTAGATATTTCAAAGTTTTCTGGAACGTTTTAACGAAATTAACTTGTTTGAAATACAGTAGATTGTCTATTCATTTGGTAAAGGAATAAAAGAAATTGCGAAAACATTTTGATACCAGGTTACATTTTTAATGTGAAACAACTCTTTAACATGTACATCAATTATTTAATATACATCCAATATATATAAAAAAAAAGATGGATAACAATAAACATGTTTTACATAAACATCAAAATTATAAAGTCAAACCATAGATTATGGAATTCAGTGAGGCATTGCACTCCCAGTTATACAATTTTCCTAGAATCAGCGACGGAATGATCCATCACAGGTCCCAGTGCTACTTTTGCAGCAACTAATTTACACACCTGTGTGTTATGTTTCTCAGTGGATTATTTTGTTTGTTTCTTACAGCTTCTGGTCACTTAGAGCCTTGGTTACCTAGGACTTGGGTATTCACAAGTCTTCATTCTGTAAAATGTGAATTTCACTTAATTCAGTGGTTTGAAATGGACAACCAGGAGAGGGGGCAGATGGGCCCGGATGTAATTGGAGCCCCTAATTTTTTATTCAAAAGAAATGTACCTATTCATCTCAAATCCGAATTTAATGCTATAAGTTGTTTCTGATGCATGAAAGAATGAATTGGGAGAGGAGGGAATATTTTTTTTGAAATGAGGAGCTCCCGTGGATCAACTACCCCAGGCCTCTGGTTTGAAATACCATATTATATTTAAGAAATAAGTGGACCAAATTTAAAAAATTAAACACAGTTGTTCAAAACTCTACATTTTGGACAACTAACTACACAATTTTCTTTTATCCTCAATAGGGAACAAATTAATAGTCATTTGAGAAATGCACAGTATTTGTGTAAAAATGACGTGTGAATATTTTATCCATAATACCTGATTAATAAAACAGACTTCTACTGGAGCAGAACATTAATGGACTATCAGGCCAAAACACAGGTAACTTGGGATATACACTGCAAACAAGGCAACTAATAATTTCTATCAGTGGTATTTAGAATTATATTTTGTGTTTCATCGAGAGGATTGCATGCCAAAGCCATTGAAGAAAAATAAAAAAATGTACTGACACAACAAACTCGGCAAAGCATGTTACATTTTCTTGAAACACAATATTCCTTGGGTTGCTTCAAATTTTCAATTCATTTCAATGTTGAGATCATCAGTTATATGTTTAATGGTGAGATTTGTTTACATTACAAGTTAACATTAATATTTCAACATTGACAAATCATTGTAAAATATTTTTGTTTCTATAAACAAAATGTTCCTTCCTTTCATTAAGATTAGAGACCTACAACCAGTGGCAGGTTCATAAAGAAGAAAGATGCATGTAGTCAACCACAGTCTATCCGCCACACACTCTTCTGTGAAAACCGCATTGCAATATTTTTAAACATTCAGACATTGCTAGAGTTTAAGTTGTGACTCACTATAGGCATAGGTCAAATCATTTACACTATTTACTTGTTTTTATTAGAGACGTGCACAAATCCAGAAATTCAGTCCTGTTGCCCTCCAAACCTGTTTATTTTCACTTCTAATGGTGTCCACCTTTACTAATAGGAAGAATGGGAGGGGCAGATGATAAAGTAATATGCTAGTAATTTGAAACATGTTAACACATCTTGCCTTGCATGCCTCCTGTGATTTTTCATTTTATATTTTTAAAGACCTTTTTTATTCCCATGTACTAATTATATATTTGTGTAAATCAAGATAGTTTCTGACTAACCTTCCAATCTGTGCATAAATAAGGTTGAAACACTATTGTTTAAAATAAACTAATATAAATTATCATATATCTTTGATCTTTATGCAAACTAGGTAGATAAGGTATATGACTGGTTCCTGTTTCTATTAATGACCGTTTATTTCCTAATCATCTATATCCTTGGGGATTGTGCTTATGCTTTTGGTTTGTTTTGTTTCTTTGCAACTCACAAGGCTTATGTGCATGTGATCTTTTGCTTTCAAGAATTAGAAGAAATAGAAAACATTATTAAACATTCTATAATTTCCTGTAAAAAATTTATGAAATAAATGATGGTTTAATGAAATGTATAGATTATGAGATGAGACTGTCAACGAGACATGTAGACTGATATAATCAATTTTTGATTGGAAATGAAGAGTTGCATGAAGTGATGGTGATGAAGTTATTTTTCTTGTTAGATATTTTGGGTAGAATTGCATTTAAAACATAACATTAAATAAAACCCATATATATTTACCTAAAAAGAAATGTGCGAAAACTCTCTGAAATATCAGGAGACATTTCATTATGATAAATTTGGGACTGAATCCTGAACAAATGGAAATTTCCTTGCACTATTACTTTTCTTCATGCTTTTTATTTTAGAATTTTTTTAAAATTTATGTTTAAGTTTTTGCTATTTCAGTTTCCTTTTATTTATAATAGAAAATATTTTCTTTACACTCTAGGTCTTGCTTGGGCTGTACTCCAATATTCTACATTGCTGACAGTTCCTTCCATATCTTTTTTCTTTTCTCTCAGCTTCATAGACTTTTTGTATCATGGAAAACGTCTATAAACTTCAGGCTGTGCAATTCATTTGTGTGGGATTGATGAAAAAATTAAACTTATTTTCGCTTTTCATACTCAAATTCTTACCATTTCATAGCTTCATCATGCAAAAGTAACGCTATTATACAGATTGTGTTTGGAAGTCTAAAGTACTCTTGTACATTGTTACACACTTATTTTGAAGAGTTTATTTAAAATATTTTAAATATTATGATAAATTATTTCACACATTTACAAATCACATTTGAATGTGTTTGCAGAAATCAGACATGTTATTTTCTTCCTATTGTATATAATATGTTTCCAGTTGTATTTAAGACACATTATGTGGTGAAATGCAACTGGAACACCCAGTGGTAAAATGCAAATGGTAAGAATATCTTGCGCTTTGGTGAGGCTTCTCTGCTTTTTAAATGCAGCTTTCAATGGATGGTTTTGCTTGGAGCCGTAGCATGCATCTGTAGCTGAGTAGTTGCAGATTTTGAACTACTCTCTGTTGCAGTTGCGAGGAGCAGTTGGAGAGATCACCACAGCCAAGTCCAGCTCTCCTAGTGCCCATCGAGTGCCCTGCGTGATCTGCCTGCCTGCCTGCCAGCTTCCTCACTCGATCTCAGCCTCTTTGAGGGCGTGTGTACACTGCAACTAGTGCACAGAACTGTATCATGTGATTTCTCTTTATATATTTGTGTCATTGTACTTGGTCCAGTACTTGTATATAATATTTGCATTTGCAGAAGATCATGTGTATATAGTGCTGCAGTTTGTTGCCTCTCTCTACTTAGCACTTGTACATCGCAATTTTGTAAGGAAATATGAGTGGTCAGTCATGCCTCAGTTGCTTTGCAGCGACAATTAAACCAAACATTGCCATCCTTACTACTTGCATTTTTCTTTGTGATCTTTCCTTGTTATAACTTTATGAACAATGAGTATAATAAACTTATAGTAAACAATGAATGGAAGTTCAGACATTTTTGTCTTAAATAGTAGTCCCAGAATTGTCAATGTTCATTCATTCTTCATTTTTCATTCTTATTCTAACAACTTGATTTCCATATTGTAACTCTCATAGATGTATTTCCTCCTACTTTCTTAATTATTTCTGTGTGTCTATTTCTGTGAGGGTAGGCAGGCTCAAAAGTTTGGTCCAGAAGAGCACAAGGGGAGTGGACAGCTTGAGTACTAAAGGAGACCTATATGTCCCTCTTAGGTTTGAACAACCCACTTTTAAAACCTCATCCCAAGCAGTACGATTAAAAACAATGTTCTATAATAATGTGGAGAATTGGTTTGAAAGTGATATCCATATTTTGTTTGGTTTTTAATGAATTAATTGTCATCAGTAATGCTGAGAAGTTCAGCCAACTCCTGAAATTCTCATAAAAATATGGATAAAATTGTTAAAATATTCACAGAAATTCTACAGATTGCAGTATAAAAGGTTTATTTTACAATATCTTTTTGATGAGAGATACCAGAAAGACATATTGAAACCAGATTATCTACTTCTGTTCATTTTACGCATTAAGATTGTATTAAGAGAACAAAAAGACCCCTGCATTTAGTTAAGATTTTCTGTTAAATATGGAATTCTCTTACCAGGTAATGTCATTTTGTACATTGAAAAATATTTTTCCACATGACATGATGTGATAGACACGTATTTGTAGTTTGATTTGTTTGTATTAGGTGTTATAGAATTCTCTTATTTCTGGATCATATTAATTAGCAGAATCCATTCGATAACCTTACACAAATCATCAAAAAAATTATTGGTGAAGGAAGCAGGTAGGTAACAGAATGCACCAACAGAACAATGGTTGACTCCCACTGTACGCTAATCAGAAGTGTAGCTGATCCCTCTTTACTTATTCAGCTTATGAGAGCCTCATAAATACTTATGGCTAGGGCTTGAATCATTTCTAGTGACTATGGATATTATTGTTAGTGTCAAAATGACATAATTTCACAAGTACGTGTTCTGAGTTAGAAATTTTTTTGGTTTCTAATTCCAATATCTGTATCTTTGTTTTATTTTATTCATATTTTCTTTACAAATTTGCAGTGGCTTAACTAGCCCTTCTGGGGCAAGGTTCTAAAACTAAATTGGGGCCCCTCAAAAAATGTCCAATTAACTAGAGATAAAATAGTACTACTTTAACGCAAAATTATGCGATAAGTACTCAAATTTTCGAAAAATTTTATATGATCCTACTTCGAAATCTGGCTTCAAGGAACAGATTTTATGAAAGGAATAAATCTATCTTTAATATTTTAGTTGCAGAAAGACTCCGAAAATATCTTGAACTTTTGCAGTGTTCGAAAAATCATTGTATCCAACGAACATGAGACCTACACCTTTCTCTTAAACTTTCTTTACACTATCCAACAAAAAAAATTAATCAAAAACGATGAAGCAATTTTTCTTGAAAATGTCTCAAGGGCTTCCTGTAAAGTTGCCCCCGAAATTCAAAGGGTCTGCGATATCAGATCGATTAGGGAATATCAATTTTGGAGAAAATCGGTTGAACGGTTTAATCGCTAGTTGCTAGGGAGTTTGTGCACGCCGTAGCGTCAGCACTATCGATCTCTTGCTCATCCGCACTGCACTAAAATGGTGCGAAATTTGAACTGCGCATGAGCAGAAGATCGATAGTGCTTTAACGTTTGAGGTGGCACAAACTCCCTATTCACGGATGGAGAAACAGGCGTTTTCCCGCCATTCGATTTTTCGGTATCAAGGATCGACAAAACATGGGTTCTGGCTACACCACGTGCTAGAGGATTTTTTCTAAATTTATCAACTGGATTTATCCACTTTCGTGACCAGGGTCTTGTAATAAGAGCTTTTCTGTCGAAATTCGCCTTTCTTCCGCGCAGCATTTTATCACTTTCTCTCTACTCCGTAGAGAGAAAGCAAATAGGGCGTGCTAAAATCTAATGAAATCGATGAATCTTAATCAGTCGCAAAATTTAGAATCGAGCCCTGCGGACTTTCATTTAATGTCGCACTGGTTCGCTTTTAACGAATTCGTCACATTACTCTGTAGACAATATTATAGGTACTGCGCCAGTCTCTCTTGTCCCATCGAATTTCTCAGATTGTTTTTACACATTTCATAGTATTCCTATCTCTTTCTACCATTGATTCGCAATTGTGGTTAAATGATCGCAAAGCCAATTGATTCAAGCCAATAAATCGTTGGCTCAACTGACTTATCACAATATCTAAACAAGCGAAGTAAGCATTAACTGTTAATCGTTTTTCTGTCAGATAAACGTTGATCTTCACACAGTTCTTCAAAATGACGTTTCGTTTTTGTTTTTCACGTTTCTCGCAAAACTCGACTTACACTCCAAAATGTAGCCAACTATTGCATGGGATTTGGCTTTGTCAAAGTCACCTCTAAAATCTTTTATATCCGCGCGAGTTGTTTCAATCAATTCCTGTGCTTGGCAAAGATCAAAATCAGATTTTTAGACAGCGTTTGTCGCGATCAGTTTTTTAATGTAATTCAACTTGGAATATATACTCGAATTTTTTTTAGTTTCACTCATCTGCTCGATCAGATACACTTTTGCTTGTTAAACTTATTCTTGATAAATCTTGGAAGATTTAAGTACCTTTTCATCCAAATCGTCAAAACTAAATAACGACGTAGAGTAACATACACAACATTTCAGCCTAGAAACAACCTTTCAATGGTTTTTTTGTTTTTGTTTTTTTTTTTCTTTCGGGAAACTCTCAGAAAATATGTGGTGCTTAGATCAACAAGTTAAAAAATATTTTTTCCCCTTTACTGTGATTACGTTAGGTATACGTAAGCGCCCTCGCCGGGTTAAGTTCTTTTATTGCAGGACAGCGCCCCGAATCGAACTTTGAATGCGCCCAACACGTTTCACTTAGCTTCTGTGCACGATGGCCACGAAACTGCTCGCGGGTCCTCTGATTTTCATGACAATCATTGTTGCCAGATGTGTTCAGAGGGATTCCACCATGTTCGTTTCAGTTTCCGCCGAAAATCCGCTGAACTGGTTTTAAAATTCCCGCCAAAATCCGCTAAAAAAAATAATTGCGATTGTATTATTTAGTGGCTTTCTTGAACCTGTAATTCAATTTTTAGATAATATAGAATGCATTACTTGGGTGAAAATTTGCAAAATAATAACAATAGATTTCAGTTATTTTATAATTTATTATATAAGTATTATATTATTTATTCTTGCTAGTAACATGATTTAGAAATATACATCTGTGCAAAGCAACTTATTAATAAAAGTTAACGAAAATGATTCTTTACTAATTTTACTGCTTTACTAACTTTATTAATTTCCACCGTTTATTCCGCTGTCCGCAAAACTAAATTTTTTCCGCCGTACGAGTTCAAAATCCGCTGAAAACGGCGGGAATTCCGCCGATATGGCAACACTGATGACAATGCGGCCCCGCTGCGTCTAACGTAGAAAGAGCTGGATTCCAAGAAATCTGACAATGGTACATATTTCGTCGTGGCCCACCCAGGAGCTGATGTGATCTTTTGGTGACGCTCCGAACTAACAGGAAGCTCTTGACAATCGATGTCAAAGAACATTTTACGAAAGAAATGAGTATTTGGTCAACTGGGGAGGGATTAGCACGGATTTTTTGAGCAAAATTAGACTATCTTCTGAGCGGGAAGTTTGAAATGTATGATTTTTCTTTCTGAAATGCCTTCAAAGACTAACAAAACTGAGCTGATTGAAGTGTGGTGCCAAATTTGAACTAATTTGGTGGTCAATGCCAACACAGGTACATTTTTATTTATTATTGTTATTAATGTGACTTACCCAGAAACGTGCCGAAGAGGGAAATGTTTTTGGTCCCGAGAATAACCATGTGTACTGACAAGTTATTTCACCTGAATAAAACAAAAACTGTCTATTGAGAAAAGATGCATCGACCATCCCCAGCGAGGTGACGAGATTTGACATAAATGACGATGTTTTAAACATATGAATGTTTCGTATAGACATGAACATGGTTTATATAAATTTGAATTATTTATTAAAGCCGATGTTTACAATTGATTTTTGCCTGTGAAAAAAAACACATATTTTGTACAAGTGAAAATCTGAAGTAATGTTGGTTGACTCAATCGTCAGTTCGTGTGTTCGAACAATGCAAATGCCTTCACCGAGTAAAATGCTTCCCGTCCGAGAGATAACCCCGTTTACCTAAGGCAGCATGTATCGAACCTATTTTTGAACGTAGTGGTAGGCTGTTCAAGACTATGACACCTAATTATCCAGTGACGCCCGCAAACCAAGGGAGGTCGCCGGAACTCACAAGCTCGGTCATTCCGATGTAGGAGGCAACGGTGAGAGGTTGACATTCGAAAGCACGAGACGAGAGCGAGCAGTACATTCGATGGGGGAGGCGAGAGACAGGAAAGTTTCTTTTGTCTCTGGGGGACGCCTCTGAATGCGTTGCCACTCGCCTTTTAACGCTGCGCCGCGCGCCGCTAAATGGCATTGCCACACACCGCGAGACGCCACACCGCAGCCCCCGCCGAAGCCCGAATGCATTGCCGCAACATCGCAGACCGCTCCGGTGTCGCTCGGGCAAGAACAAACACCGGACAATGACTGTGTGAGCCCAGAACTCACGACGGGCCGAGGCGCAACCAGTACTGCCGCGAGCCACACCGTCTGCACGACGGATCAGGCGTTGCTAGCGCCCGGGACGCCAACACGTCACCTGCTGTCCTGACTGCATCGCGGGGACGAGGAAGAGGCGACACGCCGCGGGAAGCCAGGACCGCGCTGCACCAGACACCCAGGGAAAAGGTCCGCTGCTTGCGTCGCCGGGGTCATGAACGCCAGTCTGCCTGAAAGGGTGGACTCTGGCCTGAATGGCCATAAGAAAGAGAAGTATTTCTAAGTTAGTTTTAATAGAGGAGTGTTTATAACGAGAGGCTTCACCTCGAGTGGAATGGATATTAAATCCACTTAAAAAATTCAGCCATGTGTTTTAATACATTATGAGCATCAGTAAAAGCATTCATTTATCCCAGAAGAGTCTACAGACTGAACAGACTGGGCAACGTTGGATCTGGTAACCAGGTAATCAGGTGAGTCGGGACAGCCACCCGGGGGCAGTATTAACTAACGAATATAATGTATATTAACAGACATATTTACAAAGCATATTAATTTAAATCAGCGAACACATATTTCTATTGCTTGCTCAAATTATTGTCAAGGAAAGAGAATATGTTCTCTAAAATCGTGTCTGATTTTTGAGTGGTGAACGTTATTGTTGACAGTCTTGCTGAGATGGTGGTGGTGTCTAATTGTGAAATATTTTGCAGCAAAAGCCTCCAGAAATCGGTTGTATTCTGGTTTGTTATCAATAAAGTGATGCTAAAGGCTTTCAAACAAAGTTTAGGTAACGGAATCAAAATTCTTAATGAAGTGACACAGGGTATTGTTTATTCTGCCATCAGATTTCAAAAACCTTTTTCAGAAAATGAACCCACTTTTATTACATCGTTTGATGGTATGGTGAATCCTCCTGATTTTGCTGCAATCAAACTCCAATGCTGTTGACAGAAAATTGGATGAAGCATGTTCTTCGGAATTCTCCGGATCCCACCCACAGAAGACCAGACGGGGACCACGAACACCCTTGTCAGGTTGCCTAGGTTCCGGCGGTACTCACGCCGATAGCATAAAGCTGATAGCAGTGAGGAGACAACGGGACCTCGAGCCCGGTCCTTCGTTCGGGTTGTCCACTGTTGGGCTCTTGGCTTCGTGGTGACAGTGGCTCGGTCATCTGGGCAAAGAGGAGGGACATTGTTTCGACTCCCGCACGGGCCTAGAAAGTCAGTAGCTCTGAACTGTCAGGGCGGCTAAACCCATGCATTGAATGGGAAAGTTACCGAGAAGGTAAACCGTTCTGGCGAGATCCAGATACCAGCCTGTGGGCGTACTTGTGCGCCGGCGGTGGGTGCAGATAAACGCTTAGGTGCCCACCCCGGGGAGCAAACCCGTGGTAGAACAAGGTAGAACAAGAAATATCTCGAAGATTACCATCACGATTTCCTCAGTAACTTTTTACTATTTAACTTACAAAACTCAAGGCTTTAATTATTACTTTAAATTATTTATCTCGGGGCTACTTATACTAGTAATTAATTAAAGACGTGAACCTGAAAATTCTCCGTGCGTACGAGGTTACGGCGGACAGAATTTTTTGATACTCAGGGCTTTCTGCGTTTAATGGCATACACACGCAACAATACTCAGAAATAATAACCCTTTTCGTGAGAAAATTGTAAAGCGCAACAGTACATTGCTTCGCAACTTATTTCTTTGGCAATAAACAAATACTATGAGATATATACAACCCTTTTTATAATTAAATTTCGAGAATAAAATCACATACATACAAAAAAATCACAATCATTCCTTTCATACGTGTGCAGATCTGTGCAATTTTGTTACTGAAATATTTGAATGGCCAATCTCAAAAAAAAAAAACTGAGCCTGTTTGTAATTCAAAAATAAAAAAAAATGCCTCGCCTTTGGACATTTTAAATTTTTCTGTAGGCATGTGATTGAAAACCCTAAATGAAACCATCTTCATACATGTGGTTGAAACCAGGTGTCTGAAGATGGCTACAAGGAAGCAGCTGAAACGTCAAGCCAAGTGTAATGTGGTTGAATTAAATCACAAATTTGTACAAGAATAAATAAATCTTAATATCTAAAATTTGACGAGGAACTGAATTTTTGACTGATTTGGACCACGCGTGCATGCACCCGGGGCTCAGAATCATTTTCTCTCAAAATATCTTTTCTCTCTTCTTTCTCAAAATATTTTCGTATTATCATTAAAACAAATAAACTCGAATCGCGACATAAACTGAGTGTAGCCTGTTATATTTTACAGAATCTATAATACGACATATTCGACCAAATTATTTCGTATTCTTTCCTTCCCAAAATTTCTCTCTGGATCCGACCCTGCAAGTTAAGTACGTTGCAGGTTCCATCCATCTTCGTAATTCGCAATTCACACTTCTAAACATTTGCCTGTCGTTTACAATGTTTCAGGTGAAAACGCATATAGATTTTCCACATTTTTGCAATAATATATACAATCCAGTAAAGGACATAGTTCTCAATAAAACACTTATTTACTTGCATTGCCTGAACGCATTGTATCAGAGAGTATATATGAATGCATTTTATAAAGACAGCATCATAAAATTATGTGCCACTAAAATTTTGTGGATCTCCAATACTTTATTTCTGTAAAACCTGCTATCCTCAAGACTTTATTTCTAAGTCCAAATATTGTGTAGGTCACAATTTTCTTCTGTCATCAGGGCTATCAAGTCGTGTCCCAACTTTGTTATAAGAAATGACATCAAATGTTTATTAAAACTTGCCAAGCAAAATATATTCAAAATATGTTTCATAAAAAATGTATACATTAAAATAATTGGGAGCTAGTTATATTTTAAGTGCGTGACTTGAATATTGAAATCCAACCATCAATTCAATTCAGTATAGGAAACTGCAAAGTTTAAAAACAAAAAACAATAAAAGGAGCAATATTTATTCATGTTTTTAAATAACCATGTATTTATTACAATTAATAGTTAATTGAAAAATTAATAGTTAAATTATAATAAATTCTGGTTAACTAAGTGTTGATAGTTCGTCCACTCCGTGAAAAATTACGAACATTTTTGTGACTATACTTATGAACATTGTGAATTTTCTCCAAACGATAATTAAAGTTTAATGTAGGTAATATTTATCTGGATGATAATAATCACAGATTTATGAAATATTATTTTTTATTGGTACTTTTCATTTTATTCGAAAATTACTTATTGCAGACGCTATCTAGACAGTGTGCAACAAAAAATCTTGTGGAGGCAAAACTATCCTGCTAAACTATTCTCGTCACGCAGCGTTTGATTCTCGTATGGTAGACAGACCAACTTGATCCAAGATAACGTAAAATCCCTTTTTTGGTGGTGAAGATGAACGGTAAAAAGAATGATTTGGTGATAATAAATCACTAATAAAATAGTAAAAGATTCTGTCATTAGTTTCTTGGCGTTTGATTCTGCAATGGCAAGCGGGCCACCTTGCTATGAAGAGAAAGGAGCTGAAGATGAACGGTAAAATAATTGATTAGTGATAATAAATAAGTAATATACCACAATTAAATATTCCGGTACTAACTTCGTTTAAATATGCTATGGTGGGCTGGCCCGTCGCTCGTTTCTCTGACTGTGTGCGTGTGTGTGTGGTGATGGTGAAGATGAGCAGTAAAAAATTGGTTTTGCGATAATAAATTAGTAATAAAATAGTTAAAAATTCTGGCAGTAGTTTGATTTGATTCTGTTGTGGGGGGCGGGCAACTTGGTATGAAGCTAACCCACCATCTCTTTTTTGAGGTGAAGATGAGCGGTAAAAAAATTGTTTTGCGGTAATATATTAATTAAAAAATATTTAAAATTTCTGGTACTAGTTAAGTATGATTCTGCTATGGCGGGCGGGTCAGCTAGATGGATCTGGATAAAATTATGTAAGTAATGTCTGAATATAGACTTCATACATGAGTTGCGTACGTTTTATTATACATTAATATTCTGAGTTTTGTAAACTACATTTCGGATGTTCGGTGAAGCTGCAACCTCCATTTTTAGGGAGCTTGCATGCAAATCTACATTATATTTTATTTTCAAAGCCTGGCCATGGATGAATACATGGATGTTAATCTATGGCTTGGCCATTGTAAATGGTATTTAAAATGTTCTGCAGTCTTTAAATCACGCTGACGTCAATTGGCCAATGATATTGTACTTTCGTGTTCCCGTATGATAGTAAAAATATCCTCCTCACAATAATCCATTATTTTTAATATAAGAATTTTGACGAATTTCAAAATTATATAACGAGATAATAAATTAATAACATAAGTTAAACTGTCAGGAACCTGTTTTGTAAAGTCCGTATACTCTGGTCCGTACATCCAGAAGCAAAGTTCTTTTTGTAAGGTTGGCAATTTGATCATTTAAAAGCCAATGTACGTTGTATCGCATGAATAACGTGCGTTTGCAAGCCTTGGAGTGCAGTTTTGCTTGGTGATTTATCTGTATCGTGCGTTGATTAATTATTTAATTATCTTGAGTTTTGAATGTGTGCGCGTTTAGTTTGTTAAATTTGTTTTTCCATCTAAATTAAGCATATTCTGGTGCTTGAAGTTTTGTTTAGTCCGTTATCTCGGTCGTTTTTGTGAGTATTTGGAAATATTTTATATTAAAAACGTCATGTATACTTAACTGGGTATTGTAGTCACAATGAGTGACAGTAAACATTCAATAGCCGTAATTTATAATGTATTCCTCTTCGATAATTTATTGTGGAATCTCGAAAACGGGAGCTTGTAACTACTGCACCAAGTCTTTTACAGATTCCAAATTCCTTCAAGATGTCCCAGTTTGCATTTATGAATGACCTGAAAACTTGCCTAAAAATGGATGATCCGATTACAAATGGTTCTGTGCCTCGCTGGCAAAAGAAGGCTCTCGAGTCCTCTAGTTCAAGGTAAATGTAGTGAACAACTTGCTAATTATCACCTATCAGTGAGACTTTTTTTCCATTTCAATGGGAAATTGTATGTTTTTAATTGTATTATATAATATTTGGAATGCATTTTTTTTTTCAAACAAATTTATATAAATGGAAGATGATTAAAGTTCTTGTGTTAATATGTAAAATAATGAGTGAAGTTTAATAATTTTGCAAGTTAATATGAAAATTAATTAACTAACCTTTACTAATTTAACTAAATCTCTTAATTTATTACTAAAGGCATTTACATTGGAGTTTTGTAATAAAATTTACTGTGAAGTCCTTTATTTTTACTTGGGCACCTGTGACAGAACAGATGTTTTCTCAGGGAGAAAATTTGAGGTACTTGGAACAACTTTTTCTCATTCACATGATCAGCCTCTCTACCTCATCTTTGGAGTTTGTTTTTTAATTGGCAAATGTTGACACTTTCTCATCTCCCTTGGAATCTTGTTTGATACTGCTTGATTTGTCTGAATTTGCCTCTGACAAAAAGAAGACTCAAATTCTTGAAAAATAGTTGCCACTGAACTATGGAATTATTGATTCAGCTAGAAATTACAAATAAATTAAAGCCTGTAACATTCTTGATTATGTCTCCAATTCCTAGTGCAATTGTAAATAGTACACATTTCAACAACATTGACTTTCTTCCTCTTCACCACTGCTTATTTTGAGTTTAGTATTGATGTAGTTCTTTCCTCTAAATGATATTTACATTTAGCCTAATGTCCAAAATCTCATATTATTGAATTTAGGCTCCAAAAGAAGCTGATATTCCATTTGCTTCCTTTTCATGTCAAGGATTCATTGCCACTACATTTATAGTTCAAATGCAAATTTTGCAGCTTATTAAAACAACCCAAAATATCATAATGTTAGAACTGTTGATATGGCTTTTTCCTTGTTATAACAGTAAATACTCACTTGGAACTGCGCCTGCATTTTATTTCACCAGTGCTTGCAGCAGTTTTCTAGTACCCAATACTTCTTAAACCTTTTGACAACGTGCAGTGTTTAAAACATACGGACAACAAATTTGCTGCACTGCATTCTGCTGGAGGAATAATGAATTAATTGATCTGGGTCTTGGAGACCCGGCAAGAGCCCTGCTGGGTTAAATATATTATGACCTCCCTAATAATATAAAATTCATGTAAATTATTTCAATCTATTTATATATTTTCCAGTAAAAACGTAAGTTATGAAACCACAGTGCTAAGTAATTCTGCACATCTTTTGTACAACCAAGAATTCTGGAACTGTGGGTGATGTTTGCTAATGTAAATTAAAATTTAGACTTCATGTTCCATTGGTAGTTGGAAAATTAAACATTTAACCAAGGGAGGGTCCTTTTCTGTCCACATATTTTTAAAACTGTTGTAAAAGTTGGAATAATGATACAAACCACTAGATTCTGATTTTGTGTGAGAAATATACTGAATTCTATAGGTCCATAATCATTGTGAAGTTAGTAACTGTCACAACAAAATACTTGTCAAGTCAGAAACCTGAGATGGGCACTAAATGTCCCTACCTTTGTCTAACTTGTAACCAGTGTTTTTCATAGGAAAAATTATTACTCAACAATGAGGGTTTTTTCTTCTTTTTTTCTTTTCTTTTTTCCAAATCAAATTTATTTTCCATTGCTGGAGAGGGTAAAATATTTCAAACAGTACATAGAGATAGTAGAGACGTATTTAGAGTGCAAGTGAAAAAGAAGATGCATATTAAAATGTTTATATAAATGAAACCTGTGGCGTGATATTGAAGGTAGATTTTTTTAACCCTCCTTTTTACAGTACGTTATGGAAGAAAGGGTGATCAATGGAAGGTGAAAGTTTGATAGCGATATTGGTAGTAGTAGTAATAGTAGTAGTAGTAGTAGTAGTAGTAGCAGCAGCAGCAGCAGCAGCAGCAGCAGCAGCAGCAGCAGCCTGCTTTTTCTGAATTTTTGGTACACAAATCATCTCAGCCTGGCAGGTTCAGATCTCGCTACTTAAACATGACTACCTACACTGTTCAACTAAACAGCTGGACCAAGTAGAGATTCAAGGACAAGTGCTCAAAGTTTCTTCGCCCTATCTTTCCCTTCTTTTATGAGGGATAGGATAGTATGACTTCCTCTTTTGTTACATTTCTACAATAGTTTAAGTAACATTTTCTGTCAGCCTGGGAAGCCCCTATTGTAGATCTGCACATTTAATTTCATCTTTTACAGTATTTTGAATGATTCTGGGATATGACATTTTTTGTCAGAATAAATTAAAAATACCCTGGAAAACCACAAAGACTGGGAACTTGGTCCTAGAAAAGTGTCAACATACTGCTTAAGAATTGGTATTTGCAGTAATTGATTTTTCCTTTGGGTCAGAATAAATTTATAACTGTATTGCATACAATCTCTTTAGTTTTAATAAGAAGTTCATTTAGTTGGGGGTTAGAATGGCTATTTTAAAGTTGCATTATCCTTTGAATTTAGTTCGTATAAAATACTAATCTTAGTCATTTGGATATAAAACCAACAATTCATTGAGTATTCGGAAGTATCCAATTGTATGGTGCATCCCACCCCAAGATTTTTAACTCATAATTATTACTGGTAACATGAATGTTCATTAACAAATGCATAACATGATGTAACAAGCAGTGCCATGTTGACGTATGGGCTTGGGGTCCAGAGCCCTCAAATGATTCTTAAAAAATTATTTAATACTAAATTTTCCAAAAGTAAAATTTGAAAAATGTGTAAAGTGATGTATGATTAAATTATATGCAAAAAAATGGCATAACTTAGTGATATGTCATGCATCATTGGATAATACTTATAATACGAAATGTTGAGTGATGCAAGACTTCACTCAGTGATGAGAAATTTAGTTTTGTTAAAAAACTTTTCTTTGCTGTATTTAATTTGTAGTCTTTTGAAGGGTAATTATCAGGGCTCTGGTTCTGATGACCTAAAATTCTTTGAAAATGACTTTAAAATTTGAGAAAAATAATACATAAAATAGTTTAAAAATGAGGGGGAAATTACCAATTTTTTTAAAACACTTAAACAATTTTATGAAACTGTTTATTTGATAAATTTTACATTTTTAAATAAAATTTATTTATATAAAATTATATTAAACATAAAGTCTTCATTTTAGGAGGAAATGTAATCCTTAGCTCCGATCTTTCAACCACTAGTTTTGAAAGGTCGAGGAAAAAACCGAAGATCAATGTAATTTTGAGAGTCTAAAAAATCCACTGCAGTAGTGAATTTTGTCATGAACTAATGATACAATAAAAACTTAGTGTCGTTGTAAATTTGTGAAACATTCACCAACAAAAACACAAAAAGTAAACAGAATGACCCAGAAATAAAACGCCAATCGAATTGTGTAAATTGGTCATTTTTTATTTGTGTTAATTTTTCTTTCTGACCAAATCTATCAATCAAAGTCGTCCCAAGCGACTGTTGGAACACATCTATGGCTGTACTTTTATAAACAAAAATGTTGCAATACAAACGTAGGAATGAGTCGAAATTGTTATTTATTTTTCAGTATAAATATCAGCTTGAATGCTTCAAAAACAAAGGCTTCCACTTCATTGAAACCAAAAACACCAACCAAAAATAACATAACTCCTAAGAAAACTCCAAAGAAAACTCCGAAGAAATCCTCAGGTATGTGAATGATTGTAATCTCAATTTTTTCAATTATTGATGTTAAAGTATTCATTATTCACTGCCACTTCCTTCTGATTTTAGTCAGTATTTATTTATTCATTAATGAAAACAGGCAATTGTCCAATACAATACAAACCTTACAGAGAAACTAATATGCTAACTCTATGCTATTTTAAATTTGTTAAAAATTTCAATTGATATCTTTCAACAACTTTTCTTCAGACTTAGGAATAAATTGATATTTAGAAAGAGATAATTCTATATTAGTTTTTTGCTAATCTAACCACCCAATTTAAAGGCAAATAAATAATAAAGGTAAATGTTTGTTCTCGCTGTGGTGGTTGCAAAGAACATTCGATTAGATCTGTAGTATCTGGACAGAACTTGAATATTTTTCCTCTCTAATAATACTTCACCATCAATATTATTGTTTGAAAGGTCAAAAAAATATTTAAGGTCATTAAAATGTTGTTTAGAAGACAGTGAACTAATATTTAAGGTTGTCGCTATTTGTTTTTAGCTGTGTGATAATCTCATTGGATGTCACATTAAAAAATGCATTTTGTATTGTTTCTAGTTTTTAATGTGGATTTGACAAAAAGGTGACTAGATGGAGCTTGCATGTAGAAGAGATGATCGCACTATTGTTAAATATATTTTCAAAGGTTGTGTATTTGAGAAGTCTGTGGTCATTTGCTTTGTAAATCCTAACATTCTATTACTGCAATATATTGCTGATCATCAAATTTCAATTTAGGATCAAATATGACACCTAGTTCTCTATATTTCTATAGATTGAAATCAATGGCCATGTAACTAACAATAATAGTAGCAATAGTAATAATAATAGTAGCAATAGTAATAATAATAGTAGCAATAATAATAATAATAGTAATAATAGTAATAGTAGTAGTAATAATAATAATAATAATAATAATAATAATAATAATAATAATAGTAATAATAGTAATAATAATAGTAATAGTAATAGTAATAGTAATAATAATTGGATTCATTGTTCAATGATACATCATGATTTTGCATTTTTCTATGTTGGAGTGTAATTTATTTGAACAACACCATATTGACAGGAAGTAACGATTTTCCTGTAAGGTTTTACAATCATTACTTGATTTTTATATGATGATATAATTTCAAGTCATTAGCAAATAATATGACATGTCTAGATGAAAAGCTAGACTTAAATTTTTATGAATAGTAAAGGAGTACTATCATTAACCAATAGTAAAAGGTGGAATCCTTGGGCATTGCAAGGTTATAGTAATGCTCTTGATACATAAGCTTTTTATTTCGCATTTTTGTTTCGTCTCAGTTTCGTTTAATTTTGTTCTTGCAAAATTGTGATTAACTGAGTCAAAGGCTTTTGGAAAATCTGTATAAACTGCATTGACTGGAATATTGACTTCTGAATTTTCCAAAATAAATTTGATCAGTGGTGGTGGACCTATTATTTGGAATTAATGTTGTTCGTCGATACTTATGAAATGCAGACGAGATGTTATTCTGTAATTATTGCTTCAAATAGTTTTGGAATGGTATTAATTTAGATATTGGTTGACAACTTAATATTTTTTCTATCATTGGACTTGTTTTATGAATAGATGTTGTGAAAATTGTTTTCCACAAATTGGGAAAAGTACCTTCAGTCAGTAATTTAGTTAAGAGATGATGAATAATGGGAACTACATTTGCTATGCAATTTACTTCAAATGTGAGTGGAATCCCATCATGCCCTAGTCCAGTATTTGTATTTAGTTTATCAATAGCTCTGAATTTTTTTTGCATTATATTAGGTAATAATCGAGTTTTCATAAGAATTTTCCATAATAGTGGTTGATAATTCAGGGGTATATTCTGATTCTAAAATATTTATCAAACAGAAACCTCTGGGACTTCTTGCATGATTCGTGTATTCCAAAAGAGATTTTGTTTCATAGTTTATTGAATTTTCAGCCTTATCAGTGTATTTTTGAGAATCATTTGTCTTGATTTTACATATTTTTTTAAGTTTAGAGAATTTTTATTTTAATGCCATAAATTACAAGGCTTTTGTATTTCCTATGAGTTTATGAGTTTGAGAAAATCGGAAGAGTACCATGGAGGATAAGTCGTTGTTGGTTCACAAGTTTTTGGAACAAATATAGTAAAATCTGACATTAATAAAAGAATGTTAAAAAATAACTGTCTTGTTCTATCTCTCTCTTTGATTTGATATTCATGAGAAAGATGGTTTCTTTGCCCTTGTTGGTTAAAAATTATTCTGTTTGTATTCTTGAGATGGCAAATGCAATAAAACACAAGCTGTTTAGAAAGGCTTTTCAATTTGATGTTGTGTTATAGCAAACAGATGTGGTGCAACTACTCCTAGTGCTAGTGACAGATTTATTCCAAATAGAAGTGCTACAGATTTTGAATTGAACCATTTTAAGGTATGTTTCTAGAGATTAAATAAATATTGGATTTTATTATGAAATGTGTGATGTTATTTCTTGAATGAATTTGCATTAGATGGTCCAGCAGCAGCAGCAAAAACAACCTACAGATGAACTTACCAGTCCTTCACAGATAGAGAAGCAACGTGTTATGGCAGGAAACCTATGTGGAGATATTGGTAACAAACGTGTTCTATCGTTTCAAACTAAAGCTCCTCCACCTCCTGAGGTTTGTTCATTTCATATTGTAGAACACTTGATTTTCAAGTCGTTATAAAAAAAATAGTGATTATGTTCATTGAAGATTTGATGTTGAAATTTTGGGGTTGTTTGGGCTGCAATTTTACAGAAATGTTTAATACATTCAGGGTTACCACTCTCTAGAAAAGAAAGAGGGAAAATCTGGGAATTTTGATAGAAATTGGGGATTTTTATTTTCAGTTTTCATTTAAAAGCTAATTCCTTAAACCATAAGAGTAAAAAATACATGAAGTTGTTTTCTGCTTTTTTAATTTGAATTCAATAACAGATATCTTGTGCTATTCCTCTCCTATCAACCTACTAGGAACCTTTCTCTCAGAATCGCCACCCAGAGGGCCCACTGGGCATCATAAAACAGCTGTCCTGTTGTCTGCTCATGTCATTCCCCAGTGAGGATGTTTCCGCAGTACCTAAGACAATGAATGGCAAGTCACTTGAAATTGAACTCGCCGAAAGCTGCAGCTTGTATTGCAGGACTCGAAGGAAAAAGCTAATTCTAGGTACCAGACGAGAGAGGCATGTGCACAGCCATTTAGGATTCATCAAGCATTGAATTAAATCTGAACGGCAACTTGTTATTAAGAGTGGATAACATTGTATATTATTTATTTGCGTACTACTGTAATAATAGCGCAGCATTAGGCCAATGCTATGTTACAAAAATATTGTTAAAGAATTATAATTGTGAAATGCTAGTGTAGCACAGGTTTTCTTTTATGTTTATGATGGTTTTATTCCTGTGTTTTAATTTTATATTATTCTTTAAGCAATTCTTAATATTTAATTATTGAATTATATTGATATTCAGTTACGTAAAGCATAAAAATTCAGTATATTTTACCATGTTCAATATGTGTACATTAATTTTTGATTATAATTTTCAACTTGTGAAAACTTTGGAACAAATTTTGTTTCTGCTCTTTCCTCCCTCGTGTCCTTTGTTATGAATAAAATTATATTCATGGCCATAGTACTAATTTTTTATGTGATTCATTAATTAATCTGTAGTAGTAATAAAATAAATAAAACTATAGTATATCAATCCAGTTATTGTGACCTATGCATTGACATAGAATGTGGTATAATTTGATTTCATTTTCAAAAATTTATGGAGAAAAAATTAACGACTGAGGATTAGATTTTTTGATCTAAAATTTTCAGAAGTAGGCATAGATTTCCAATCTAAATTACATTCATAGTCATGTGTACCTCTTAACATAAACTTTACAGCACTCTGGGTGTGAAATGTTTGTCATCCAAACTGTTATATTTTTGTTTCTATTGAATGATTAAAAAGTAAGTAATACTTGTGAAGAAAAATTGTTCTAGGAAGCATAATTGGAAACGTGACCCCCTTTCCATCTCACAAGTAAAGTGTTGTGTGTATGTGTACCCCTATTCTTTCTCTCTGTAGGGTATGTTTTCCTCACATTGATGTTGCCTCTGATGCTCAGAATGTATTATAGTTAAAATTACTAGAGTACTTATTGTAGTGTTGTAATGTACTCATTAGTATTGAATTAGTAATGATTTTATAGACAAATTTGTTTTACAGGGACATCAGAATTCTCTGAAAGTAGTGTATAGTCATTCAAAAACTACTCCATGCTTGAAAAGCTCAAGTCGTTACATTCCCCAGACTCCAGATCGTATTTTGGATGCTCCTGATATAATGGATGATTACTGTGAGCGATACAATACTGCATTTTGAGAATTTTGTATTGGTTTCTTTTATTAAGGAATTAAAATCTTAAGACAACTTTTTGTTTGTAGATCTGAACCTTATTGACTGGAGTTCAACTAATATGCTGGCAGTTGCCTTGAACAGCAGTGTCTACTTTTGGAATGCTGGCACAGGGGCCATTGAGCAGCTTCTGACCCTCGAGGGAAGTGATTATGTTTGCTCTTTGGCATGGACACAGGATGGAGCCCATCTAGCTGTAGGGACAAGTATGAGTACTACTCAGGTAAGTGACGGCTGGGAAATCATTCCTAATCAGAAGTGATGACTATGATGATGATGATGATTTCAGAAGTTACTTAACAGTACACAGTACATTTCCTGCTACTGCTAAAAGCGTAGATCACTGTAAGCTCTGCTATTTATTTGTTTGTTTATTTTTAGTTATGGGACTGCACTACTCTGCGTCGTTTGCGAGTAATGGATGGTCATGTAGCAAGAGTGTGCTCCCTTTCTTGGAATCAGTATATCCTCAGTAGTGGATCCCGCAGTGGTCACATTGTACATCATGATGTGAGACAGAGGGATCATGCTGTTGCCACATTTGCTGCTCATTCCCAGGAGGTAGAAAAAAACAAAAAATAATTAATTATCCCTTCTGTCAATCTTTGCCAGAGACATTAAAGTTGCTTGATGACATTGTAGTTTCATAGGAATAACCCTCTACATATACAGCCTTCGCAGTGATATAAACTGCCCTTGTTCCTACAAATTTGGAATGAACAAATGAAGGAGAGAAGGTCATATTCTCAGTTCTAACCTACTGTGTAAAAAGCTCACTTTGACTCCAGAAGTGCGATTCTCTGTTCACTGGAAGTACAGTACTTTTGGATGAAAAGTGCATGTGTCGGTGATTGAATGCAATTTAAAAATTTCATTAATTTTTTTTATTCCACTTATAGTGTATAGTTTGGTTCATATTAAGGTACGCTGTTCAGTGTATGTTCCGTTACATCTTGGGTTAATTCACATATTAGAGTATAGTTCATGTAAAAGAGTGAGTTGTATCAAGAAAGATTCGGTTTCTTTGCATTTGGTTCATTCTGCCGCAGTGCAATGTCTTTACATACGCTTTGTCCCTACTACACTGTAATGCCAAATTAATATCAAAGCAAGTTTTCTTACTTCGCTGGCCCAGATCCAAGTCGTTATGAGGCTCAGGCCTTGGCCTCTGCATTAATTTTCAACAACCTTGAGTCTATCCACTGCATAATTACCAATTTACTTTTATAAGAAAGCACTTTAATGGTTAAGTTCTCTGAAATTAATGAAATTGAAAACTCACCTTAGTCTTTTATTTGGTAAACTTGTTTGTTCAGTTGAAGGAAATTTTGCATTTTTTCATTCCCACTTCTTCCTATGGTCTTCTTTTGCCACATGTGCTCATACAAATACAAAAGGAATTACTCAAAGGCTTGATGGCATGGCAATTTATTTTTAATAGCACTCCAAATGATCATATTTTTTGGCACAACTTTGTAATTTTATCACCCTCGTCTTTTCGCACTTCACCAAAGAAACACCTGGTCAAAACCTTCATTATGAATCCACAGGCCTCCAGTATTCAAACTGCTGTGTTGCATGCACGTGAAGAAAGAACACTACAAGCTTTGTTCAAAATCTAATCCAAAGAACAGTTCACAGTGAAAGAGTTGTATCCTAAAATAAGTAGCCACATCTTGTTCCATACAAAGGTATTGTCAGAAGCAGTGATAACGATTCAATTAAAGATCTTGCAGTGAGGGGAAAGTTCTACTCAAAGGAAGTCGTCCAATGGTCACTTCAGAATTACTTTCATAACAAAGTTCGAAACGTGATTTTTCATTTGTTTGAAAGATTTGTTCCTCACATTCAAATTTATCCATAACTGCTGAAGAGAATATGAAGTGACTGATTTGTTGGGCTACAAAGCTGTTTTCATTTTCAGATCTTTCTCGTTACAATACTACCCATCTTTACTTATATTTAGCGAAATTTCGTCTTTGTGATAGTAAAATTTTTTAGGTTTGCGGTTTGAAATGGTCCCCTGATGGACGCTATTTAGCCAGTGGAGCTAATGATAATGTTCTTAATATTTGGCCATCAGTACCTGGACAAATGTACAGTGAGGGTCAGCCAATTTATTCGTTTAGGTAAGTATCTTTTATTTTGCCTTGCATCTTTGTATAAACTTTGATGTCAGGACAGAGACTAGCTTGATAAAAATAATTATGTTACCTAATGTTTGTTTGGATGTGAAGCCTGGTAAATTAGTTAATTAATGATAGAAATTATCACTAATTACCAGCGTGTGACTGATCAGGAAAACTGAAAAGTCAGAGAATTTCTCATTTACTAGAGAAAATTAAGAGCTTTTTACTTCCATGAAACTATATTTTATTTGCATCAGTCTTGCATTGTAATATCAAAACAAGTTATTATTTTTATTCATGGAAGATAATACATCTTTTAATTTGTCATATGATTCTTCCGTCCTACCCTCTTTTGCCATATATATACAGCTATAATACTTAGATATCCTCTTTCAATCAGTTTGCAAATAGTTATTCGTTCATTTGTCCAACTAAAAGATAATATTTAACTTTTCTTTAAATTTTTTTAGGCAGAATTTTGTTGTTTTTAATTTTTGAATAGGTACTAGTATTTAATGAGAGGAATTGGTTATTTTGACAGAACTAACACAAAACGAAAGAACCATTTCGCAATAAGCAGTGCATCAAAACAAGTTCAATTGTGAAAACCTCCCAAGTCTGGGATAATCATGCAATCAGTTTCACTCCATTACTACTGAAGGATTAATTAATGTCATTTTTTTGGTTTATAATGAAAATTAAAAACAATTTGAGAAATTTTATATTAAAAAAACTTTGTTGAATTGGACTTGAAAAAGATATAGCTGAGGTATTGGTAAGACAGATATTGCAATATTAAAAATATGCAACTGTTTCCATTAATGCAAAAAAGTGCTATTGTAACTCCTAGCTTAACTAAAGGGTCAATTTCTTTTTGCAGAAACACAAGCGTGCTTCATTGATTTACTAATAACAAAATATTTGTGATTTGTCATTCTTAATGTCACAAGTAAATTATGATTAATACTACACATTTCACTTCCTTGCGACAGTTGGAAACTTAACAATTAAATGGGAATGTGTTTCCCATTGTGAATTTGACAACTACCATGTTACAAAGCAATATGTAATTGTCAGGGCCAGTTTTAGAACCTATGAATTAATATATTAAATTATTAAATTTGATGTCAGACTTATCGACAGTAATGGCTTTAATGTTGGAATAAATTGAAGGGCAGATCTCTAAATGAGCATGTCTGTTCCTCAATTTTGACTTGACAATATTACTCCTGGGGAAAGGGGAAAGCTTTTAGATCAAATTCTTGTTTTGAAAATCCTGTTCCTGATGTATGTAATGCTCATATATGAGCAATTTTACCATTAATTCTGCTACAGCTATCTATAACAATCTAACAGAAATATGTGTATGTATTTCACTTATACACTTATATTGAATTTTATTTCAATTCATTCTTATATTTACTTCAGCCAACATCAAGCTGCTGTCAAGGCTGTAGCTTGGTGTCCTTGGCAACCCAGTGTTTTGGCTAGTGGTGGCGGAACTGCTGATCGCTGCATTAGATTCTGGAATTGCAACACAGGTGTATGTTTGAACACTGTTGACACAAAGTCGCAAGTTTGTGCTCTGTTATGGTCTACAACTTACAAAGAGATTGTGTCAGGGCATGGATATGCTAACAATCAACTTATACTTTGGAAATACCCAACCATGAATAAGGTATGCTCCTTGAGTGAATATTTGACCTTTGCTTTCCATTTTACTTCATTGATGAACAAATATCTTAAATATTGATTTAAAAGATTGCAGAACTCTCTGGACACACAGCTCGAGTGCTTCATCTTTCTATGTCTCCTGATGGTAGCACAGTGCTGTCTGCTGGTGCTGATGAGACTCTGCGCCTCTGGAAGTGTTTTATCCCTGATCCTGCGAAGAAAAAAGAAACTACAGAAACTAAAGTAGCTACAAGTATTTTGCAAGGGTTATTACGGTAGGAATTGTGTTCATTGTAAAAGTGTACAGGTAATGTTGAATAACGAGTGAATTTTGTGATTGTAACTTCGACTGAAGATTGCCATTTTTTAATACTGTGACTGACTAGACTAATTCCTTATATCTAGCTAAGCTTGATAACTGAAATTAGTTGCAGTTCTTTTTATTGCTTTATAATATTCTACTGTGTATATGTATTCTTTAATAAATAATTTATTATACAATATTTGAACATTTTGCTAATATTGTAATTTCTAAGATTTTTCTTTCCTTTTTCTTCATCCAGGGAAGTGATTGAAAGAGAAGTAATAATATAGAAAACTGGTGATTGTTCACAAAATCTCTTTATTCAATGAAATTCATTGAAATTGGGTCAAGTTTTTTGTAAGTCATGGGGGCTTCTTCTGGAATTGCATTTAGTACTGCTGTACTAAATGCAATTTTCTTGGATGCCCTTAATGATGTCAGGTTGGTATGTTTTCATTGCCAACTTCAATTTGTGGAACAACATAAGTCGACAATTGCACTGCGCTGGGGCCAAAATGCAGTGGGTGTTAAAGGACATCCGTTTGCGAGCCAAAAACTCGTGCATAATCTTCGCTTTGTTGGCTGGGATGTCGTGGGAGGGGGCCCATGAATGAGCCTCTCGGAATTCGGGTCAAATTCAGGTGCGTCAAGCCGGAATAGGCATGTCAACGCACCGGAATGAAACACATCAAATTATTTATTGCTAATTAATAGCCACGTATCTTCGTGGCATAAATGCGTGTGTGCTGGCTTGTATCAAGCCAGCTCACGCCAGTTTTCGCCACGAAAATATGTGGCAATTTATTAGCAATAAATCATTTGAGATTTTCCGTATAGTTCCATGGAATTAAACTTGTTTGTTGACACATCTCACTCCAGTTTACTCCACGAAAATACGCTGCAATTAATTAGCAATCGTAAATCTGAGGGTTTCCATCGTGCTACGACCCGAATTTAATTGTGTGCTGACGGCGCGCCATGCCAGATCACCCGTACGTGGCAGTAAATTAGCAATAAAATCATTTGACACGTTTCATTACGGTATGTTGTCGGCTGTTCCGGCTTGATTCATCTGTCGAATTCTTGCCTACAAACAATCTAGGTCACGGAGATAATATTCACAATAGTTTGACCTTTCGGTACTAACTCCTTGGGAATGATTTATTTGGAATCTATTAGAACTGTTGGCATACAGTAGTCTTCGCACGACTCATCATGCGAGTTTTACTTTCTCCCTATGGAGTAGAGAGAAACTTGTAATGTTGAGCAGAAAAAAGCTGCGAATTTTCGGCAGAAAAATTAATACAGGTCCCTGGTATGAAAGAGTGGATAAATCCAGCTGCTATATTTAGAAAAATATCCTCTCTGCGCGGTCATATAATACTATGTATCTTAACGCTTTTTTCACGGGATATTAGGGACTCAAAACATTGATAATCACGTTGTATAATTTAACGTAAGTTAGGAAAAACGTAATTGGAAATTGTCCGTGTTTGACGTGCAATTGGCGCTCTTTCATCAACCCATATCGAATAAATGTTATATTATTATTTTTATGTTGGTGTAATTATAATTAGCAATATCTCTGTAGATAGAAGAGAAACAACGGCTTAAGAAAAGAACAAACCAACAATAGAAAATCTCTTGGGTACAATTTTGTGTCACTTTAGTTACATTCAACTAGTTATCACAATCGTAGCAGTAAGTAAACTATGAAAACAATTGGCTTTGTTTCTAATTCTTTTTTTATTTATTCGATTGATTGTGATTTCGGGCGCGTCAAATGCTAAGGTCATCAGTCCCGTAAGTGTGCGTGCTTTTGCTCGGGATGTGGCGGTGATCTTTCCGCTCCGCCGAATGGTGAGACCCGGCGACGATCACCATCGCCTAGCGTGGTTTTCCCCAACCAAGTTCCTCCCACCAGCTGGTCACCGCCCCAGCCAGGACAAGGCAAGTGTGATTGAGAAGCGTGTGTGTGTACGCGAAATGGATGAGGTAAGATATGGAAGAGCCCCGGCATTCGCCTGGTATTGATCAGAGAAACAATAGAAAACTACCGGTCAGAGCAGCTGGCCGCTACAATTCACCTTCGGACAGCGACAGAACTCGATTTAGTTAGTCATCAATTCATGTCGAAAAGCCTGCCAAATTTGGGACCCGAACCTAGGACCTCTCAGTCAAAGGAACAGCAGTGACATCAATTGATTCCCTCACCCACCTCTCCTGGTCTCTTTCCAGTAAAAAGACCAATTGTACAAATCAACCTTACGTTTTCAAAATAAATTTAAATTAAGATATTTGTATCAATCTTGCATAGTTTTGTTGCCCTCCTTAGCTAATGCAGTGTTGTTGTTTTTTTTCTCTGAAGGTGAGATTCAAATGATTCTTGTAAGTGAATATGATTGAAGTAAAGCTTGGCACACATCTTAATTCTTAAGAATGCTGTGAAATGGCCAAAACTCATGCAATCTATTTTCCAATTTTTAATCATGCGAACACAGTTTTCAAATAAATAAAATACTTTGAGTAAGAAAATATAAATATACTTTATACACGCAGCGTGCTAGGACCAAATTAAGTATACATTTCCATTAGATGAAAAATACTTGTATGTCTAAACTCTCGGGATCTCGTAATATTGAATTCCCCGTCGATTTCCGAAATGGAATATCCCATGCGTCTAGCACCAACTACCGTTCTATGTTCAAAGTCTATTAGTTCCAGTCGTGCGGCTATAATCACGTCAGAAACAACTTGAGTACAAATGAAAGCTCTGCCAATGCATTGCACTTTTATAACTTTTTGTACGCGATACTACCGCCATTGTATATTTGCGTATTAATATTGGATGACTTTCGTCACAACAGTATATTTTTTATTGTAAGAAATATGGCTTTACCGAAAGGCAACAATGTGTGGCGTCGTCGAAGTAAGCACCCAGAGAATAAAAAAGTATATACAAGTTTTATTTACAAAATGTACAAATGTATCAAAGTATCCGTACACACTTTCCGGTATTTCCCGGCCGCCAGCCGCGATCGTACCATCCTGTGGATACATATTTACAAGAGAGGCTCCATCTCGAGTGCACGCGCCTACCGCGCCACTCACGTGACCTTCGTCACCCGTGCAACTACGCACCAGCCTGGGCGTGAATTTTCCGCAAAGCGCGATGTTTACAAGAACAAAACCCGCCGGCGTCAGCAAGTCGGCCCAATTTATAATCGCCACCTGATCACCGTGGGAGAGAGGTGTAGTATCACGTGACACTTGCTGCAGGACAAGCCGGCGACCACCTGCCTCTATAAATATCTGCCACCCCCACGCTAGCTACAGTTGTCGGTATGCGAGGCTTCCGCGTTCTCCTCCCACGGAGGGCAGCCAACGTGACGCTACAGACTTTTCATTATCCGGAAACGCATTTTTTTCGAAGGTAACCAACCACAGGAAAAAATCACTGGCCGCAGTGGCCTACATTGTAAATTTTTTATTCTGGCTACCGTTTGAACATACAATATAATGTCTAACATACATGTAATTCTTGAACATACCATTTTCTCGTAGCTGGAACTAGATATCTTATCCCCACCTACAAGTGATTACTCAACACATTATATATATATATATATATATATATATATATATATATATGTGTGTGTGTGGTGTGTGTGTGTGCTGTGTGGTGTGAGAGTGAGAGTTCTGATGTCTCCAGCTCTGTGACGTCATGCCATTTCGCTATGGCGAATCGTCGAGGGGGTAGTGTGGATTCAGAAAGGAAGCGACGGCAGGGAGTGGGGGAAGGGATGGAGAGTACTATTGAGTTACAAATATTGACCTTACCTAATCATTGTCCCCCGATGAACTATCGCTATTTACAGTTCCTTCACATTCGTTATCCGAGACCATATAACAATACTGTTTGCCACTATTCCATCTCTTTCCCAGTTTCCTTTTCTAGTTTCGTGACATGAGTCTTCAATAGTGACTTGGGTGATAGTCCAGTTTGTAAGCTCTAACAATTTTGTAGTCGACATATCTCCAGTTACATTTCTTTCTTTTATACGTCTCTTGATTTTTGCCCATGCCACTTCCATGTGTGTACTGAATCCCACCCATCCCTATTGGTAAACAGCTCATCACTTTTGTATGTCTTATTCTGAGGTTTTAGTTGCAGCACTAGTTGGTATAATTGAGTTTTCCTCAGTTTTTCATCAACATGCATTCCCTTTGCATTCAACCATTGAATCATTGCGTTTTAATGCAATTGGTATTGAGGATTAATGAAGAACAATTACACGGCGTATTTCACGGCCTTCTTTCTTTAACTTCCTCATTTGGACGAGATATTTTGCTCTCCAATCAACAATGTCTACTGTCTCGAACAACACTTTGCGTTTTGAATTACACTTCTTTCATCTGCTTCATCAATAGGGCTCGCAGTTATGTATTAACAAATGAAAAATATGTATGTAATTATGGGATTAAAAACAGTTTGATATGCGTTAACGACACAGAAAATATGTACTATACAAACCTTATAAAAAATATAAAATTATCGTAATTTGTCATTACCATCCGTTATATTTATCACTGAAGATCTAAGTAACATATAGTCTACTAAAACAATGCAAATTATGACAAAATTCACCAGAATTATGGACTGGAACTTGTTGAAAGTCACTTAATTTTTTCCATTACAGTGTGTAACTCATTTCATGTGTCATCATTTTAAGGTTTGAAAACATAATAGCTTCTCTGTTGCTTTTCAAAATTGATTTGTACTGGGAAAACAACGTTCGTGCCAACATAGATTTTATTGGTGCATATTTAAGGTTCGCTATTTCTTCCAGTGACAATGTTTCTTTAATATCTGACCAAAAGGCCTTTCAGTGTGTTTGAAGAGGCTTTTCATCATGAAAAAATATCCAGGCTGAAATTTCAACATCTTACAAAAATTATATTCGGTTCCTAATAAAAAGTAACTATTGTTATTAACATCTTATTTATTTATTATTATTTATTCTCAATGTTGTAACTAGTAAAAAATAGCATCAATATAGTAATTAATAATTTCATTTTTAGATGTGTTCAAGAAGCATTTTTGATACCGTAGGCACTTGAATTTCACGGAAATAAAAATCAAAGACAGGATTTCTGATTACGTACATGTCAAACTCATCGATTTCCACGACGCACAGT